TACATTGGTGTCTTTAGGCCTAGGTACCAATTCCTAAGCATCACTTCATCTAAATTGTTTTAGTTATTCTTGCATGAAAATAATCCAATTGTCATCTTCAAGAACCTCACTCATATTCTTAGGTTCAAGCGTGAAAACGTAGCAATTTTGGTTCAGCTCATCTTCAAGTTGTCTCCTAATCTTCACCCTTTTGTTTGGGTTTCCTAGAATGTCACTAGGTGTGTGCCTAGCCCGAACCCACAAAGGTGTTGGTTTGGTGAGGAGGTCATTATCCTTTTAAGGGCTAGAAGTAGGTTTCGATTCACCTTTATCTCCTAACTAAAGCACTAATTCCCCCATCCTCCTCTTTCTCAAGACAAGGTCATGTCATGTGTCATCAATGACAACATTAATAGATTTCATAAAAGTAGATGTTCTCAAATAAAACACTCTAAATGTTCCACTATTAGTGGAGTATCCAACAAATATTTCTCCATCGCTCCGGGGGTCAAAATTTTCTAAGTTCTCGCTATCTCTCAAAATGAATCACTTACTCCCAAACACTCGAAAGTATTTCAAATTAGGCTTCTTGCCTTTTCAAATCTCATATGGGGTTTGACATGTGTCTGACTTAAGGTAGACTTTATTAACAATGTAACATGAAGTGTTCATAGCCTTGACCCAAAATCTCTCAGGCAATCTCTTACTATAAATCATGACACGTGTCATTTCTATAATGACTTTGTTATTTCTCTCTATAGTGTTATTTTTGTTGTGGGGCATTGGGTGCTGAAAACTCATGGTTGGTGCCTTGTTTATCATAGTAAGCACAAAAGTCAGAATTATCAAATTCCCTACCGTGATCACTTTGGATTCTAGTAACTCTATCTATGGCTTCACCTCATTCATTTTGAGCTTTATTGTAACTATTTCTAAAGCTAGCAAAAGCCTTAGACTTTTCTCTCAAAAATACAACCCAAGTGCACCTAAAATAATCATCTACCATTATTAAGATATATACCTCTTATGCTCTCAATCTATGTAGGACCCATGAGATCCATGTGAATGTGCTTTAGGGGTCTCTTAGTTATAATGATCTTCAATTTTTTGTGAGGGACTTGAGTTTGTTTCCCTAATTAACATGGACCCCACACTTTGGTAGAAGACTTACACAACTTAAGTACTCCCCCCCCCCCCCCCCCCCCACAAGCTTATTGCTTGTGATTTAGTTCAGGTCCTTATAGTTCATGTGACTTAACCTCTAGTGTCATAGTGTGACTTCGTCAACACTTTTCCTATGACACACTAGTGAAGGGCTTAAACTATCTCCTAACCTAACCCTTTCCAAAAGGCAATCCATTTTATCAGTTAATATAATGCATCTGTCTCTGGTGAAGTGTACAACATTGCCATTAGGACACAATTGGATGATACTAATAAGGTTAGCTTTTAACCCTTACACATAGATGACATTATCCAACTTTGGCATGCCCAATAGTTGAATGGAACCCTTACCAACAACCTTAGAGATACTAACATCTCCAAATGTAACAATCCCATCATTACACTTTTTCATTACATAAAAGTGGGACTTCTCTCTAGTCATGTGCCTAGAACAATAACTATAAAAGTACCATTTATTGCCCACTAGGGCTTTCAATTCAGTGTGAACTACAAAACACAGCTCATGATTCGATGATATAGCCATTCTGAACTAGGTATGTAAGCAACAATCAAATATGCCGACAAATGTCTACATACAACTCAGGGCAACATCGCTCCAATACCATTGTTGTTTTGGAAGGGGGAGAAATAAAGTGGGTCTTCCCTTACGATTATATATATGGAATGCACAACATTTTCAAGTGGGGGTGAATAGTTTTTTCAATTTCAGCACAATTGATTACCAATTAAAACCTAATCTACCACAATTACCTCTTCTCACTCGAATTTAATAATGAATAATGAAAACCCCTTTAATCACTAGACACCAACACATCCATGATGATTTATGTTAATTAATTGTTCAATTAAATTTCTCAAACAATCAATCCCACGATGATCCAAAAACCAAAAACCCTAATGCTACTATAGATAAAAATATGTGAATCAATCATTCATACAAATACATAGTGTGCATGTGTACAAACAATCACAAGTTTATAAGCATAAGTAATGAATAACACAAGTAATTTGTTGACCTGAAAAACCCTCAACGAGAAAAATCGTAGAAAACCATTCAGGGTTCACCAAAACATAATCCACTACTCACAAAGTCAATTTACAAGTACTCGAGTCTTATACCTCAACCAATATCATGATTAGATGTTCCTTTCCTTTTTAGATCTCTTCACTGAAATTATTTCTCCAACATCTTGCGTAACTTCACTTGCGCAACTTCTTTTGTAGATCTCTTCATGTCTCGAGCAATCATGGGCACACCAATGATTCTCAATATCCACAAACAAATGGATTTATCAAACCATCACGATCTTCAACTTTAAGTTGTGAGGTTGTGTAGAATCTCTAGTGGTAGACTTGGGTTTCAGGGATCTAGGGTTGTAATGGAAGCTTTATAGGCTAAATATGAGTCTTCTCAGTCAAAAGGCTTACAAGAGACTTGCCCTAGCTGAAGAAAAGACTTACCCTATTTATAGGTCTAGAATGAGAGTAATCTTAGTCAACAAAGAAATTTAGATTCATGAACGATCACTCAATCTATTGGAAGGCAGTTGTCACTGAAATGAAAATCACATTTCAAACCTAATTGAGAAGCATAGACCACTCGAGCGATGGTCAAGGCCACTTGAGTGAGCCCATAGAACGAGCCCTATACTCCACCGTGTGATCTCTTCTTCTTTTCTTCCCTCGGTAATAAATAGATTGCTTTAGCAAAGGTTAGTAAGCATAGGGTGGTCCTTACTAGTTTTTTAAAATCACCTAGGAGTCATACATGGATTAAGTCCCTAAATTCATTTTAAATCTAATCCTCCTAAGTTAAATAAACCAAGTGATCATCTTAGGTATCTTGGTCATTACCATGGTCCTAAGTTTGAAGGTGCAATCGAAGGGTGAATGATGTAACTTTGATGCTTGATCTTTTCCCCTTCAATGACGCTTTCAAATCTTAAAACTTTATAACATTAGCAAAAATTATGTGTATCGCACTACCAGTTTTAACCAATACCTTCTAATGTTGAGATTAGAAGATATTGCAGTGATGACCAGAGGATCATCATATGGAAAATGTATCCCTCTAAGGTCATTGTCAAAAAAGGTAATAGGTGAGATGACCTTCAGGATCTTTTCTGGATGGACCAAGATGATCTCCGTCATGTTTTTATTAGACTAATTTCATCATGTGTAAGCTTGATGGGTCGAGTTTGTTTCGCCACAGATAGAGAATCTTCTAGAGATTATTTTCTATTCTCTAGTAATTTGGCTCTCTGTTGTAGGGGTAAGGTGTGCTTTCATCTCTCCTATTTTTCCTATAAATTTCTCTAGATAGCCACTCTTTTTCAAATTTTCATTTTGATCTCTAAGGGGGATGCAATCATCTGTGTTGTGGTCGTGATCTCAGTGAAATTGGAAGTATTTATCTTTAGAGACCTCCTATGAGGTTGGTCCAAAGCATTGTTGTCCACTTTACGATGTGATCGTCCTGAACTTGACAGAAGATCTACTCTATGTGGTGTTCAAATGAGTGTATTTCTAAAACCTTTCAGTCGGGAAAGTGGGCCCTCTTGGTGCTCCGGGTTTTGTTGGAGGTTTTTCCTTGATCTCTTTTCTTTCTGTTGGTTGCGCGATCTTCTTCTGAGCTCCCACTAGTTCTAAAGGAATCCTCTGCATTTATATGACTTTGAGCTTTTGAAAGCAACTCGGCCATACTTGTAAGAGGTTCTTTGAATAGAGAGAACAGGAAACAGGATGGTTGAAAACACCCAAAAAGGAAATCAAATCTACCTTATCATCAACATTCTCTATTTGGAGGGATTCCTCTATAAAGTAAGTCACATAGTATCTAAGGCATTCTCATTTTCCCTAGTTAAGGTTCAATAGATAGGTGGTTGGCTTCATTTGGGTTCGACCTCCTATGAAATGGTATAGGAAATACTTACTCAGTTATGTGAAAGAGCCCATTGAAACAGTGTGGCGATTATTGAATCATAGGCGAACATTGTTTTTTAGAGTGGTGGGGAAAGCTCGACACATGATCTAGTATGGGACACTATGTCAAAGCATTAACAATTTACAGGTTTTCAAATAATCAAATGGATCCTTCATTTTGTCAAAGCTCTCTAAGTTTGGAATTGTTAACTTTGAATGGAGGGGATAATGTGTGACAATGGAAGTAAAAAGACATTCCAATCGTTGGGACTAGAGTTTCCAGTATTAATGGAACTCAAACCTTTACTGTATTGAGCATGTTCCCAATAGAGCAATGCTACATGTATTTAAAAAATAGACTTGATAATTACAACCATTGATTTCACTGTGGAGCTCAGCGTTTATTAGGACTCATTACCTATTCAATGGTTGAGATTATTAAGTCTAGTTTTTAAGTCCATCTAGTATTACTCGTTCCCAATAAGATCATTCACCTCCTTAAACTTTCGTTCTACAGCGTTTTCATCCTCTTGAGGATGGGAAACCTCATTCGGGTTGTGCTCGTCTTCTATTCCATGAGGTTGGTGGTTGCGATAGTTGCATCGACCGATGTGGGTGGACTGCCTATTGAGCAATGAACAACTGTAGGATCTGTTGATTTTGCTGCGCTAATCATTCCATTACTTGATTGATCCTATGGTGGTTCATGACAAATGGCTCTGGGTATATTCTTCCCAAAAACTCCTATTGATATGGTGGTGAATATTATGGAGCATCTGAAGGTGCTTTGAGTTGAGCCCTTTTAGACGAGTTGTTTTTCATCGCTAATTTTTCAATCATCAATGCTGATCAAAACCAAAAAGTGGTTGGTACCACTTGGTACTACATCTGCCAATGGATTTTATGTTAATTTAGATCTGATTTGATTTTGAATCTAGTTAGTCAGATATGAATTATTTTTTGATCGGTTATCCGAATCCATTATTTCATACTTCATGGACTTAGATTTGGACTCGCCATTATTTGTTTCATTAGGTTCCACCATATGTTAGCAAGACCATATAAACTTTCTATCTGATAAATTTAGCACCTGATTAACTCGATCGATATTGGTAAAATTTGGAAGATTAGCCGGATCCGTTCAGTATGTGGTCAGCACCGGATCGATATTGGTAATATTTTCTTAGTGATACCATTTGTTTTTCTTTATTTGCTTTCATTAATTGTTCACATTCTAAGAGTTGAACTAAGCGTGCATAACAGCTGGGACTCTTAAAGTTGCGGTTTAATATGGTGTATTGGGCCAGTAGGTTTAATTACACTAACATCAACACTAACTCCAACACCAACACCTTGGACCACGTCTCATTTCTTTACAAAAGTGAAAAGTATCGATTCAAGCTATATAAACTCTCTCTCTTGCATTTGAAGAGAAATCTAGCTCACTGGCTTGCAGCTCGAACTACAGTACAGGTATTGTAGTTATCTACCCTCAGCACAAAAGAATGATACCGTCTTCACTAGCATTGTTGTTCCTTCTATTGTTGCTGGCGAAAGAAACAAAATGTTCATTGCGACATCAGAAGCTACATGAATTCCGATCAAAACTTCAAGAGAAAAACTCCTTCAATGAGATTGCATTACCTCCAACACCATCTCCGGCACGTTCAAATACCCAAAAGGTGAGAGATTTTCATTTCTTTTATTCTTTTTAATGTTCTTCTGCGTCGTGTTTTCTATCTGTGTGCATGGTTAAATAGGCTTCGTTGGTGTACTTTTATGCTTCAGAGAAGTGGTAGAGTTCTCTATCCTATTGGATATGGAGCAGACCCAACGGGGGCGCAAGATAGCGGCGATGCCATAGTCAAGTCTGTGGGTGATGCTTTCAAAGTGCAAAATAGCCTTGAATTGTTGCCTGGAGTTCCTGATTTGGGTGGTGTCATCATTGATTTACAAGGTGGAAACTACAACATCAGCAATCCCATTAGGTTCCCAGCTGGTGCAGGCAATGTTTTGGTAACGCTCTTTCCCTCCTCTCTCCAAAATATTCAAACGAGGAAAATACATGTCATTATTGAAATTTATATTACCATTCCAGCAATGCTATAAGAGCATCTCCGATCAAGACTCAAATTTGAATCTAAATTTGAGTAAAAAGTTTGATTTGATACAAAAAGGTTCCAATGGACAAACTCAAATTTAAAGAAGAAGAAACCTAAATTTAAATGAGAGTAAATCTAAATTTAAAAGAGAATAAAGATGATCATTGGATCTTTAAAAGAGAGTAAAATCTCACAATTAAAGATTTGGGTAAGAATTTTAGTCTCCTTTGATTTGAATAAAAAAATGAGTCTCCCTTAATTTAGTATAAGCTAGAGTCAAAAGTTGAAATAAGTTTTTTAGGTTTTTTTATTCAAATTTAAATTTGAGTCTAAATTTAAGTCAAAGTTGAAAATATTCTAATTTCAGGACTTAATGATTTAGTTTTAATGCAATCATTGGATTATTGTGAATTCTAATGTTAAATAGAGAATACTACCGATCCAATTGTTGTACTGAATTAGGTCCTCAGATTATGTCAAAATAGCATTTTCCATATCATTATATAAACTAATGAGCTACCAAATAGTTTTAAGAATCTTGCTTAGTTCAATTTAACTTATGAATATGATGGTTATTAAAAGAGTAATGTTATTAAAATTTTAAAAAAATTAATTTAATTTTTTGATTTAATGATGTAACATAACATAGTGAATGTCTCAATAACATTATTCTATTAGAATTAAGTAAATGTTATAATTAATGAGTGATATCATATACTAATAATGGCATTGTATCATCATTATATTCAATAATTACTCACTGTTTTTCCCCACTCGGAATCACATGGCACACGTTAGCACACTTTTTTGGCACTGGAATTGACTTGCTTTGTGTTTAATAGTTCAGTTTGCAGTTACAAATACGAAGTATTGTTTGGTGTGCTTTGAAGCTTTATCGTTCTTTAAGCTACCTTTTTTCCAAAACTATGAATGTGGCTCACGTGACCACGTTACAACACGTGCTCCCTAGAATGCCATTAAGAATCTTAATCACTTGATATCTTTTGAGATTGATTAATAATATCTTTTGTGATAGATTAAAACCGTTGTAAATGGGTTTACTGTGACGGTTTCTTACTGTAACTAATAGTATTTTTTATGACAGATATTAACCATTTCAAACGGGATCTTTTGCGAGAGTCCCCAAGTGTGAATAATAATATCTTTTGAGACAAATTTAAATCATCACAAATGATTTTTTTTGCAAAGGAAAATTGTTGATACAAACAAAAAATGTCAGATCTAAGATTTTTTTGCGACGTCACATTTGTATCCGATTTTATCGATGCAAAAACTTTTGTGACTGTTAATTACGGGTGCAAAATCTTTTGCATCGCCTATTGTTTGTCACCCCCAATTTACCAACTCAAAAGATCACGTTGCCGTCACAAATAGTATTTGCGATAACAATGTGATCTTTTAAATCGGTAAATTACTGATACAAAAAATCTATTTTTTTGTAATAAGAGTGGTTCCATCTAATAGTATGTTTTTTAAGATAATTACAGATCTCTAAGGCAAGCAATACGTCCTCGGTAAGGATGGTAATCAAGTTTTGTCTTATTATTTTAAGTTTGTGTTGATACTAGTTGTACGTGGGAAAATTTTCGTACCTGATAAAAATGATGACGTGAAGATAAGTGTGTGATTTTAAAGAAAAATAAACAAAGTGTACCTACTTCCTCCCTTAGAACAAATTATCACGTACTTGGATCGACTATCCAAGAATGACTATCCAAGAAATATTCTGATACTTAAAGACAATAATAATTTGCAGTCGAACAACCAAATTGTATAGAAAAAAGTATGTACCTTAAGACCTAAGCTAGTAGGAGTAAGGTGTTACACCCCGAGCCTAGTCAAATCCTCATCGGTCTAGTTTTTGGTCCAATCATATTTTAATCTCATTGCTCGATATAGGTTAAATTTATAAAGATTTTGTCTTCTTGAAATCAATGGTTCAATCACTCCGAAATAGAATTAAAGTCTCATTCGAATTTTAGTCTTGCTCTAAGACCTCATTAGGCTCTGCTCGACACATACCCCTTGCTCGGAAATATTTTTTCACCGGACCACTTTCGATTAATCTATCTCTGCTCAGGCTTTCATTCAATTTGTTCGGCCAATTCGCATTCTATTCGGTGAGCATTCATGTGCTCAGTGATGGTGGAGTCAAAACCTTTTTAGCACGTGCTTTTTGTCACGTGTTCAGGTTTAATTGTCAAATAATTGTTTAATTAAAAATTCTGAACCCCTTCACCAGTAAATTTTAACATATACATTTTAAAAAATGCAACAAGGATCATAATATTAACTCGACTTATTTATCAGTTATGTGTTCGCGTTGACATATATAATTTATCAATTACAAACTCAAGACAAAGACACATTTTCCTCGCAATCAAATTTGCCATCTAGGGACCTCACAGACTAAAAATCTACTTGATTTATACGCTACCTAGATTAACTTTAAAAAAAATGAATCGAATTCTATAAGAATTCACATATACAATATCGAAATAGAAAAAAATAAATATTTTTATACAATTTCAATAAAAAGGGGTTTATAGTGTAAAACTTAGGTTATATGCGGGTTGCTGAGTCATGTCATTTTCAAATTCGCATAAAAAACTAGTCAACCTAACCCGCTACGGAGCAAGAGGGGAGCAAAGGGCAGAAACGTACATATGCAATTGATATAATTTGAATGAGTGAGGCATACATACCCTAGTACTCCCAAGCATGCTTTTGAAACTATCTTAAAGTGAAAAAAAATATCTTTAAAAAAAAATTTAACCTGTTTTGGTTACATTTATCTCAAAAATAGAGTGAACAACCACTGATTAGTAGGCAGAAATTTGTGTAGACATAGAAATTAATTTTCCTTCTTGCTTTTGAAACAAAAGGTAGTATCTGATAGAGGAAACGTGTTTGATAATGACCAAATTAGGAACCACAGCCTAAGGGAATGATGTGGAAGTATATTTATTTTACCATGCATCTTCATACGATAGGCATGGATGTATCAATAAGATAATTATCCTACATAATATTGATAGAGAAAATGTTGGAAAAATGAATCCAACAGATAAAGTAAACGGTAGGATGAGGCATAGATTAAGTCGCCCTTTTAAGAAGATTCGCACCTCTTTGTAGAAGAAACACAATGCAGAAAGTAGAAACTTATTGTTCTCAAGATGCAACAGCCCAGCTTAATTAACTGTAATTTCACTCAAATCTGCACAATCGGATAAAACAAAAACTTCCCAAGACACTTTTGTAATTGTCAATTGTATCTTTCTATCCACACGCTCTCTATCTTTTCTGAAATTTCACTGTACTCATTAATCAATTCACATCCCTTGCCATGAGTCTGTCATCACAATAATACCCTTCTAGATGTTTTAGCTTAGCTAAAGATTAGATTTAAATTTGAAGTTTCTTCCATCTGTCTGTGTTTTTGGCAATACTTTTCTCACCAATGTTGGCTTGGCCTTTTAGGTACGAGGTGGCACTTTACGAGCATCGGAAACTTTCCCAGGTGAAAGGCATCTAATTGAATTATGGTCACCAAACTCTCAAAAACTTGAGAGAACAGCCACTGTCCACCAAGATAATCTCTTCGACAGTAAATACCAAAGTGATGGAATCTACTATGAGGACATCACCTTCCAGGACATCCTCTTCGATTCAAATTATCGGGGAGGAGGTCTTTTTGTGATTGATTCAGCTAGAATTCGCGTAAACAATTGCTTCTTTATCCACTTCACGACTGATGGAATTTTAGTCGAAAGAGGCCATGAGACATTCATATCAAGCTGCTTCCTAGGACAACACTCTACAGTTGGTGCGGATAAAGGTGAGAAAGATTTTTCTGGGACTGGGATCGATCTTGCTAGTAACGATAATGCAATAACCGACGTCGTAATCTTCTCAGCAGCTACCGGAGTTATACTAAGGGGTCAGGCTAACATAGTCACAGGGGTACATTCTTATAACAAGGCAACATATTTTGGTGGTATTGGAATTTTGGTGAAAGCAGCGCAGAATAGAATAGCTAATTGCTACTTAGATTTTAATGCTATAGTGATTGAAGATCCTGCTCAAGTTCATGTTACTAATGGGTATTTTCTGGGAGATGGCAACATTGTTTTGAAGTCGATTAAAGGTCAAATTTCTGGGTTGAATATCGTCAATAATATGTTTTGTGGGAATCCAAAAAATATGGTACCTATTGTAGAATTAGATGGGCAATTCACAACCATTGATCAAGTGGTGATTGACCAAAACAATGTGAATGGCATGAGCTTGAGATCGACGGTCGGGGAATTGACGGTGGCCGGAAATGGCACGCAGTGGGTTGCTGATTTTTCATCAGTGTTGATGTTCCCCAACAGGATAAATCATGTTCGGTACTCATTTTACACACAAGGGGGGTTGGTTGGGTTTCCAGCAAGTGCTGTGACAAATGTGTCAAATAATGTTGTAATTGTTGAGAGTGAGAAAGCTGTCAATGGAGTGGTGTCAATTGTTGTTGACCAGCATAACATGGTAGGGGAGAGAAACTTCCTGATGTAGAAAAGAGGATTTTCTGTCATTCTGTGAATGCCATTAATTTTGGCTTCCAGATTATGGACAGAACTGTATTTTTCACTCTTTACAGCCAAGAGTGGATAGTTGGGGCTGGAATTCTAATGGGTGTTAATGTTTCTCCTTTTATTCTTTTGCTTTCTGCAATTTCTTGAAGTTACTATAATTTTTCGAAGACAATTCCAATTCATAGATAGGTATCACCACAGCACTGAAAAGTCATTTTTGATACAAGTATCAAAATGATTACAAAACATGGGTGACATTGTTACTCAATCTAGTAACATTACAATAGAATTTGATGGTTGGAGACAATATAATAGTGGATCAAAATCCTGTGAAGTTAATTAAACAAATCATCCGCATTAATTAATAGTCCTGGAAGTTGAGCAGATGCTAAAGAATACCAAAACAATTTTAAGGATCCAGATTAAAGAATTGAACTTATATATTAAAAAAAAAAAGTTGAATGCAGTTAGCATAGCAAGTTCACTGCACCCAAAAACAGGGGCTTTCAATTCCTTTGGTTGATTTGGTGAAGTTGAAGCGAAATGATAATTTGAGGGCATAATTTGGAGAATTGCAGTCATTAGATTGTCCATGAGTTTCAATATTAAATTATAAGTGGGTCTCAATACTATCAATCAAATGGTCACAATGCATTAAGTCCCTAAATTGTGTCCCAAAAGCATTAGTATTAAGGATATGTATTTTTGCAATACATTGCAAGAAGTTACCACTAATAATAGATAAATCAAGAAGTCATTTACTTAGATATTTTGGACATATTTATACATGTTATTACACCGTTGAGCAAGAGTATGTGACACATATCAAAGGTAATGTTAGTATAAGAGATGGGTTGAATTTAACTTTGAATTACAAGATACAACAAAATACCGTAATTAATAAAATATGGATAAAGGTATAAAAGTTATTTTTACATGATATTTTACTTAAAAAAAAGATAGACTTTGGATATTTGATTGTTAATTTTCACATAATTTCTAAAAGTTCAATCTTGATCCAAAATTACAGGGTGGTGGTTGTAATAGAGGTAGAGGTAGGGTGGCGGCGATGACGATTCTGGTGATAGTGGTGATGGAGATGATGATGATAGGGGTGGTCGAGCGGGGGGTGGTGATGTTGTGAGGATGGTAGGGATAATGATGGGAGAATGGCGGTAATAGCAGGGTGGCGATAGCAGTGGTGGTAATAGTGGCGAACAAAATATCCAAACTAATCTGTGTTGAAGTTGAGGGAAGGACTTGGAATACCAAATCGTTTTAAGCAGTCCCCACACAAGAATTTGAACACGAATCAAGAAAGTTTCTAAAGTAGTCAACAGAAGTTTTCGGAGTTAGTGTATGCTTTTGCACTTGTTTTAACAGTAACAGGATGATGCATACACTTTTGGAGCTTGATTACGGCATTTTTGTTATCGTATCTTTTATTTTTCATTAATAAAATATGTCATGTATATAATATTTTATTTACCAATTTTTTTATTATTTTTAAATTAATAATTCAAAATTATTTAATTCAAAATAAATAATTGAGATTAATGAAGATTTTTTTTTTTTTAAAATAGTTGAGATTAATGAAGATGCAATACTGAAATATGCATGTACCCTAACCTTACCCATACCCACTGTTTTCAATTCTCTTCGTCAATGGTGTATTGATTTTAGTAAAAATTGGAAGTGAGTCCCCTAAATGCACTTGTTTGAAGGTAACTCCTACAAGAAAACTTATAAGAGATTAAGTCCATGTTTAAAATTATATGTTATGACTTAGGTCCACTTTTTTTTTTTAATATCAAAAATATCTTTCCTTAAAATATTATTCAATATAATTAAAGGTATTGACAAAATAGAAACACCAACCAAATGAATAGTTTCTTTCACTACACATCCCCTTAGTTTTCTCTCAAAGTAGTAATGACATTCTTTTCTATCACACAAGATTGATTTCATACTAAACTTATGGCAACTTCCTTTTCTTATGTACACATTCAAGGAGTTCAAGAAAAAACTGTTGGAATCAAGAGGAATATCACACACTCAAAAATATAATAGAAGAGATTTTTATTGAAGAAAATAAGAACTCTTTCAATTCACTCATACCCAAATAAGTGTATTACATAAAAGATATGTAGACTCTAACGAAATACAATAAAATCCCACTACATAATGTAATAATAAAAATAATAAAACCCCACTCCTCCATTACTTACAGAATTAACATAACAAAATTACTTTTGTTCCCCACTACTAACAAATTGATAACCTACTAATACAAAAACTAAATCCTGAATATAAAAGTCATGTTTATTACTTTTCTTAACATACCCCCTTAAACATGATTCCATTTTCAACTATAAGCAAACTTCTCAATTTGCAAAAGACATCTTTTTTGGGGGGCTCAGTGAAAATATCATCAATTTAGTCTTGTGACTTTACAAATTTTAGTTTCACCTCTTCCTTGATCACATACTCTCTAATGAAATAAAATCTTATGTTAATATGCTTACTACTATCATGAAACACCAGGTTCTTTGCCAAAGATAACAAGGAAGCAAACAATGGGATCAGAAATACCAAAACGAGAAAGATGGACATCTTGACTACTTCGCTAACAAGCAAATCCAAAGTAGAAAATTATATTTGGAGTCATCTTCTTCATCTCCATTTCAACTCATACTAGAAAAAAGAGGGAGGGTTGCTTTGCATTCAGCACCTCTGCATCAAAAAAAAAAAAAGATTTGAAATATTTACTACTCTTCGTATTCTGCTTGGAATCAGCCCTCTCTTCAAATTCAACGTATCTCTAAAACATTAGACTCTCCTTGATGTATTACTGGTTGTTGTGTGATCAATAAACTATTAATGCACTCTAACTATTTGATGAAATATTGATTTGGATTCGTAGTACTTTTTTAAAGGCTTTCTTTGTTGGCCCTATGAGAGTGTCTATGAGTAATGATTCCTTTTAAACCTCCTCTTACTTATATTTTGCATATTCACTAATGCAAGATTTATTTCAAAAGTTTTGTGATTGATGTCATGAACCCAAATAACTAACTAGTGATGAATTCTAAGCCATAAAAGTAAAGAAAACTAGTAGGAATCATGTGAGTAAATGAAAAAACCAATGTACCAACTTTTATATACATATATATAACCTTTTAGTTAGAGTATTAAAGATTACCTCCCTTTCTAGATGAAAATTTATGGTCAAGCATGTGACCAACTCTTAGAATCTATTAGGTTGTCGATTCTCGCAAGCCTTCAACAAATAGATAAATCATTTTTAAAATGTTGACCAAGTTAATCTATTTTTTATAGAAAAAAATTAGAAGCAGTGTAGATGCTATGGCATGGTACATGCAATTTGCAAGTACTTTGTAAACCCCTACATTCTTATCTTTATATAGCAACGTAATTATTTTTGAAACGCTAATATATGTGATGATGTATGCATGAACTATGTGGGTTGTAAGAGTAGAAAAAAAATGTTAGGCGAAGTAATAGGGTATGAATTAAAATTTATGAAGTATTCCAGAGTTGAAATTGATCTGAAATTGGAACAGTAGATAATAGACTTCCAAGGCTACAAAAATGTATTTCATGAAAATTTTTTAAATTGACCTCTAAATAGACCAAAACTTCACTAGAAGTTTCAGCAGAAAAAGGAAGTTCGTTCAAACATGAAAGTACGTTCAAACGTGAAAGTCTGTTTGAACAACAGTACATTCCAGTACTTTTGTCTGATGGAAAAACAAAAGTACTTAGAGCAAATGACGTTCGAACGTGAGTTATAAAATCTGGGTTTCAGAATCGTGTACAGGAGACCACTTCTTCCACTATAAATACTTAAGGACACCTCCAATAGCCCCATTTCAACATTTATAACCCTAGAGAGGCTTAGAGAGGAAGAAATAAGGGGGAAAACACAAGATCAATAGGGATTTGTACATTGAAGAGGATCAAAACTTTTAGTTTTTCAAGAATACAAAGGAAGAAGAAAGGTAGGGATTTTCTTTCACTCTTGTTCATTGAGGATAAGGCATATATATATGTATGTTTTGACTCTTCATCCTATATATATGCTATGAATCATTATTTTTTGATACTCTTGCAAATATTACCATGTTTTGATGGAAGTTATGGTTAGATAGCCTAAAATCTCTTTTTTCTTGTCTTGAAAACTCTAGTTTTCAAGAAAAATGAATTTTTCTCTCAATATTCCTTTGTTCTTGATTTCAAAACTTTAGTGCTTTGTATTGAATAATAAAATGATATTTTTGATGATTTCTTGCATATTTTCTTAAATTGTTCTACTGGAATAATACATGTGAAATTTGGAAATTTTAGATTTTTACTTGGGATTTGAGGAAATGGGTTGGTATTGTATCTCTTGTGGATGTTTGGATGACTATGGGTGGCCGTTGACCGGGTATCGTAGAGTGGGTAGATGTGTTTCTTACTCCGTTTGAGTTTAAATTTTTTTTACCACTCGTAGTGAGGTTGGTGTCTTGCGATGACCAAACCACTATTCGCTCACGTGGTATCGAGGCTAAGGGTTAGTATATCATTCATGGGTTGCAATTGTCACTGCCAATGCGTTGGTATACTCCCTTCCTAAAACTGGATATCCTTGCAAGGATTGGGTGCATATGTGTGGGCCAGGATATTCTCGATGTATTTATTCATGCAATGTCATACATCATACTTGAGATATAAGTTATGGTTTGTGATTCCTCTATAAACTCATTTTCACAATAAACCATAACCAACCATTTGCACAATAAATAATAGACAATGGCCCACAATGTATCTCAATTCCACTATATGTGTCTCTCTTGGCTGCAACAGGCCATCTTTTAGTAGTCTAGGCTTCAAGTGGACATTCGAACATTAGTTGGCGTTCGAACGTGGTAGGCTTGGTCCAAGCTTTTCCAATTTTGCTCCAGAATATGCTGGTGT